ACAAATTCATAAAATAGCAGTTGAGATAAATGTTCTCTTGGCATTGTTTAAACTTCCTAAGAAAGAAAAAGGTAGACCAGAAAAATGCATTATGCCGGCAATCTAAACACAAATATGACATTTCCTATTACTAATGATTTTGTTTACCAGATTTCTTTCATTATATAGCTGTGTATTATTATTTATCAATTTCTGTATAACAAATTATTTTTTAAAAACTTAGGGGTAATTTAAACTCAAATGTTTATTAATTCAGAGGCATTTTTGTAGTTCATGGATCCAGGACCAACTTAGCTGGATGGTTCTAGCTCGGGTTCTCTCATGAGGTGGCAGTCCAATATTGGCCAGGAATATAGTTACCTGAAGGCTTAACTGGAGCTGGAGAATCTCCTTCCCAGATGGCTTACAAAGATGGCCATAGTGAAAAATATCAAAATGATTTTTTTTTATTAAATCATAGCTGTGTACATTAATGCAATTATGGGGTACAATGTGCTGGTTTTATATACAATTTGAAATACTTTCATGAAACTGGTTAACATAGCCTTCACCGCATTTTCTTAGTTACTGTGTTAAGATATTTATATTCTACCCTTAGTATACTTAACATGTACCCTTGTAAACTGCACCGAAAATGATTGTTTTGAAGGTAGTTTTAATTTTGGACAGAAAGAGGTATAATCAAATTATAAATATGGGGTTCAAAATTTATTTATTTATTTGACAATAATAATTGAATATATTTATGGGGTACATCATGATGTTTTAATACATATAATGTGTGGTGATCAGATCATGGTAAAATATTTTTTAAATCCTTTATTATAAATAATGAAAGTTGACAAAACTGAAATAATAAATAAATATTCTCTTTAAACAAAAATCAAATATGGCTACCCAAATTAACTAAAATAATGCAATAGCCCAACAGTTAAACTTTCTCTTCAAACATTAGCACTACATATATAAATCCTTTAGTCTAGTAACTTTTTTATAGAAAGCTTCATTTTTAGATCAGGGTAAATATTACATCCATCATCACAAACATTTATCTACTTCTTTGTATCGGGAACCTTCATTATCCTCTTCTACCTATGTGAAACTGTGTAACATATTACTGTTCACTATAGTTCTTTAGAACATTAGAACTTATTCCTCCTATCTAACTGTAATTTTATATCCTTTAACAAACATAAGGGGATAATGGTGCTGTGACATATACTATATGATGAGCCTCTTTGACAAGCCAGACAACAAAAACGTGTTTTTTCTGTATAAAAGAGAATTATAATGAATCCTGCTGGGAGACTGCCCTATGTTGGATTATGAAGAACTTAGAAGTTGTTATGAAATGCAGGTTGACAAGAATTGAAGACTGCTCAGAATAAGACAATTTAGGATGTAGTGGCAGAGCAAAACATTTGTCTTTAAGACTCTTCTGGCAGCCCAAAAGACAAAAAGAGAAGAAACAGAAAACACAATGGTAAGACATAGGCAGAGAAGGAAAAGGAAGGCTCAGTGGAAGAGAGTTCAACCACAGCCTGATGGCATTATCCAAATTAGGCAAGCAGAGCCAGTGTCCAGGGAGCTTCTATCCTGAAGCTAAAAAAGGACTGTCATTGCTGAGCTCTGGACCAAGGTTGTGCCACCTAGAGGATTGTCTAGTCAATTTCTCAATCTTTTTTTACTTAGGACTTTAGGGATGGGGAGGCATTGTCCTTCCTAAATATGTATGTCCTTCCTATCCTAGAGAACTTCTCTTGATTAAATTAGAATTCATTTGAAGATTCCCTTTATCCTCTGTCTGAATATCATGTCCAAAAGAAGCCCTAGCCATCTTTTTACCCCTCTCTTAATGCATACACCAACTACTCTTTTCCAAGTTCTTGTCTTTTTTTTTTTCTTGAGACAGAGTCTCACTTTGTGGCCCTGGGTAGAGTGCTCTGGCATCATAGCTCACAGCAACCTCAAACTCTCGGGCTTAAGTGATCCTTTTGTCTCAGCCTCCAAAGTAGCTGGGACTATAGCAACCCAACACAAGGCCCAGCTATTTTTAGAGATGTGGTCTTGCTCTGACTCAGGCTGGTCTCAAACTCCTACACTCAAGCAATCCGCCCACCTCAGCCTCCCAGAGTCCTAGAATTACAG